GTAGCACATACACTTTAGACTTTAGTGTCTTACCAACAAATGAAATATTACAAGAAAATTCACCTTGAAAATGCAATTTTCTTCCAGAAATCCTGCGAGCCACTTTTTCAGTCTTTTTAAGCAAAGGACTGCCTATTTTAATCCATGTTGCTGTATTAATAATGGAAATATCACTTCCAGTATCTAGCTGTAGTTTAACATTCTTTCCATTAATTTTTACTTGTACGAATTTTCTTTTCTGGCCCTCCTCAATCTCCTGACGTGACAACACAATATTCACATTATCTTTTTTCAACTTAAATTTTTTTCTTTTGCTTTTACAATGAGTACTTATATGGCCTTTATTGCCACACGAATAGCAATTTTTGTCGCGAAAAAAACATTCACTTTTAAAATGACCACCACCGCATCCAAAGCACGTTGGTTTTTTAACGTTTTTATTAACTATTCCCATTTTTGGTCGAATAGCATGGACATGGGATACGTCTTTTTCTTCAATTTGCGTATTGTCATGTTTTAAGTTTTCAATTCTTTGACACTCTTCCGTAACCTTCTGCAAAGTGATCTCGGAATTTTGTTCGAGTTTTGCCAATATTCAGGACCTTATGTCATTATCTTTGCTAGAAGTCAAGCCTTGAACGAATATCAAACATTTAAATCGATCAATTGAAAGATCATGTAACATAAAACGTTCACACATTCTGTTAACATTTCCAGCATGCGTAACAACATCCTCATCGTCACGCTTTACCATATTCAAACATGAGAAACGAGTATGAAACAAACTAACCCGCTCGCCAAAAATACTAGATAAAGTATTAACAGTTTCTTTGAAAGAAATGTCACCAGTTTTTCTTGGAAGGACAAAATTCATATACTTATTATTTTCATCTGTACTCAACTTTTGTAAGAGTAAACTCACTTTTTGTTCATCAGTCCAACCTTCACATTTTTTTTCAAATATTGTTTCAAATCTTCTGAAATACGCAGGAAATGTTATGCCCTCCTCTGGGTTAAATTTGAACTCAGTAATAGAATTAGCAATGCCTTCGGCCGTGAATGACGAATTTACTGGATTCTTAAGTAAAATCGCTTCCTATAAAGCCTTTGTGTCATTTCGCTGCTGAACTTGTAAATCCAATAGTTGTTTCCGAAACAATTTTTGTTGCTCTTGTTGCTGAATTTGACTTTGCACTAGAGTTTTTTGTTGCTCTTGTTGCTGAATTTGACTTTGCACTAGAGTTTTCGTTAATGCAATCAAATCTTCTATTATGCATAATAGATTACACAAAACACTTTTTGAAAACAGACAAAAAGGGAAAAAAACGTATATATCCACAATAAGCACAAGTCTTACTTCTTTTTGGCACATTGAAATCCCATTTCTTCGTGAAGAACAAAGTTTGACATATTTTGTTTTTTTCAGAGAAAGAAAAAAAAAATTTATATAGTCCACCTAGAGTTGAAAAATTCTCCACTCAGCGTGATGAACGAATTTCTCGTCGACACTGTTATGATGTTGATTTGGGGTTAGTTGAGACAAACGCCAAATAACATGTAACAATAAAAAGGGTTTTAATAGGTTGGTAAAAAGGTACAGAAATCGCCTGAGTAGTCAATAACTAGCGCAGCTAAGAACTTCTCTGTCTATCTATCTTTTCACATGCCACTATTTAAAGTCTTTGTTCGCAGACAAATTCATCTTCAAGAGGGGTGGTAGGTTTCCGTCACAACAATGTGGTAGCTGCCCACTCATTATTTATTGATGGCCACCAACAGCTTACAGTTGGATAAGGTGGTTCCTTCCTTCTGTAATTTGTGAGAAGTCAATGATACCTATGCAATAGTTTATAGTCACACATAGCAGGCACATAACTAATTTTCAGCATCAGACAGCTTTGAAAAGAACCAGTCAGAGACTGCTTACACTGCATACAATTCATGTAGTCTAATAGTAAGATACTAGTGGGATTGTTAAAGACAAAATCATATCACAAAAATATGACATCTACCATGTACAAATTATTTCATGTACATATCAAAAAATATCTATGGCGCCACTATATTGGTAAAATATACCATCAAAACTATCCAGCTGTATCCTTTTATTTCAGATGTTATAATGGAAGATACAAATATTTAGATTCTGGCAATTTTGAGACATTATTTTAAATTGAGCCTATGGGAGCTACTCATAGAATACTGTCTACAAATGATTTAAGCATTTTAAGAGTGGTAACTTGTCCCTTGAAATAAAACCCATAAATGAACAAACATCAGTTGCTGATGATGGTGCTTTAAAATGCTATATAGAAGAGAACCTGACCACTAGTTCTTGAAAACTTTCAGAAGAGTTAAGAATGTAAAAAGATATCTTATTTAAAGCATTATATAAGCTTCATGAAATTGCTTTGGAGTAAATGTCTGTAAAACCTTCACAAGAGCTAGGAACATAAAAAAATACCATATTGAGAGTATTACATAAACTTCAAAAATAAAAGACTGTAAAAACAAAATAGAAAATGAAAATACTTTTGAAACAGCCCAATATTAATCTGAAAGTAAAGAATTTAAAAATGTTTAATTTCTATTTTTTGATTTATTTATAATTCAGATTTTTTTGTTTAATGGTTCTAGGTACAAAGAAAATATTAAATTCTCATGGCTGAGGAAAATAAACTTTAAAAATCAAGTTTGCTCAAGACTGGGATATTTTTTGTAGACAGTTGTATATGGTCACTACATATTGCCTACAGACCATGAACCATTGCAACTGATCCCTTCTTTATTCAATAAAAGTTATGTCCCTTCATGTTGTTGAAGCACTTGAGAGAAAGACACCATTTTGAAATAAACCTGTTTTGAATCCCATCTATAGAGGCAGTGCTAATAAGTAATTAACCTGGAAGTTATAATGGCAAAATATCTCATCCTCCACTCTAGAACAATGACTATTTTCAATTTCTTCATCACCATCAACAAACTGTCTTGAACCACTATTGGCTGCCAGAAAAAAAAAAGACTCATGATGAAGAAATTTTTCACAAGATATCTCATCAGCAATTCCCAAGTAATCCTAATGTGCTACCTGTAGATTTTAAATTAAGATTTCCACCATTAAAAAAAAAAAAGAAAAACATGTGCTCATCATAAAAAAAAAAAAAAAAAAAAATCAATGTTTCATTAATAGTCAATTTTATTGGAATTCAAACCAATCAATGCAAGCAGGACTTTAAATTTTATTTTTGATTTTAGGAATCAAATATAAATGCAATCAATGGAACAGACTTTAGTTAAAGAATAGTAATATTATTTACCTTATTTTTGTTGTTATTATCACAACTTTTTAACTGTTGTGTCCACTGACCTTCATCAGGTACTTGTCAAAGGAATTACAAACTGAACCCTTTATTTAATCCTATAACAGTAGAGTGTTCTTAATTTGCACTACATGGCACAATGATTAAACTCAGAATTGTCACCAAATTTGCAAATCAATACTTTAATCTGGTAGGCTAATGTTCCATGGGACAATCTAGAGTGTAGAACTTGGAGCCTTAAACTTATTATGCCTGCTGCTGAGACAGCTACTGAAGCTTTCTTGTCATTTCTCTTTCTTTATTAACAGATAGAAACAGCATATAGTCCTGAGCAAGACAACAAATACTATTATTTTTTATGCATTTCTCCAGTTTTTTGTTACTTTTTATCATAACATTTGTAGTAGAGTTAGTCTTCTTCTGCTGTTAAACTTAAAATACAGTAATTTAGAATAAAGAAGAAATTATGAAATAAACTTAAATTTGAACCCCATATTGCAAGGAATCATTTCATGTAATAATGCCTTAACCATTTAGGCAACCAAAGAATTCCAATCTCAAAAATTAAAAGAAAAGTATCAGAATGCTTTGAACCTTTTATGATAACAAATGTCAAACCATTAGTTTTTAGATTTAAAAAAAACTCCAAAAATATACCATGATGTCCTTTGAGATCTTTGATTTTTAATTGATTGATTTCTCTGTTTAATGGCATATCAACTCCTTATGAATTATTTAATGCTGAAACTTAATTTTCTTGGGAGCTTTGAAGTAATAAAGATATGATATGTTATTCTGCTTTCACAATTGAATACATGGTAGATGATACTCAGCTTTTGTGCATATACATGTTTGTATGAACATAATTACTAGGAGGTAGTAATGTGTGTTTTATATTGTAGTTTTGTTGAAGTTATATTTTGGAATACAGTTTCATTTAAGAAATTGTTGGATATTATATGGAACTCCCAAAAACTATAAATGTATTTTTATATTCAGTAAAAATACGACCAATACATTATTATATAAAAAGAATTACCAACGATACATATTTATAGTAGAATTACCAACAATACATTTACATTTTTAAAGCAGAATTATCAACAATAAATTTTATAGCAAAATGAGCAACAATACATTTTATCTGTAACTGAAGCCATAAAACTATGTTCAAAATATTTATATTCTGGCATTAAATAACCTATTTGCTGCTAAACAAAATAAAAATAAAAAAGTTGGTAGACTAAAAGACATGCAAATGTACCAGAATACAACAGCCAGTACACTTGCATGTCTATTGGACTACCAACTGGTATGTCTACTTACATCTATATCTTGGTCAGCTGATGAACTTTCAGCCAACTCACAGAAAATAAAAAATAGAATAGAAATAAACAAAGAAAGAGAATCAAAGAGAAAATAAAAGAGCAAAGGAATGAGAAAAAAAAAGAAGAAAATGAATGAAATAAAACAAAAAAAAGAAGAAAATGAATGAAATAAAACAAAAAAAAGAAGAAAATGAATGAAATAAAACAAAAAAAAGAAGAAAATGAATGAAATAAAACAAAAAAAAGAAGAAAATGAATGAAATGAAACAAAAAAAAGATGGAAAATACAAAGAGAATGAAAAAATTTAAAAATAATAAAAAAACAAGCAGAAAATTAAAAAGAAAAACTCACTTTCTATTTTGGGTACAAATTGATTTCTGGCTTGTCTTTTCATCCACTAAAACAAAGAGAAAATTAAAGAAATAATTTAATGTTTGGGAAAATAATTAAATCGAATAAGAAAAAATACAAGTAAATTATTTAATTCCAATCTTCATTATCAACGACAATAATTAAAATATTACAAACACATAATTAGATATTAAACTGAAATCATTTCTCCTCTTTTTTTCTTCCTCATCCAATTTAATAAATTTCACTAAAATAAACCTTGAAAATTTATTCTTTCAGACCAAATATTACATTGCTTTTTGGCTTTCATAAAAAATACGTATTTTTTATATTAAAAATATGGATGTTTAGATTCCAAACAATAATAAAATAAAAATAAAGAAAACATGGCAACTATCTTAACTAGACTATGCAGGAAAAGTGATGTGTTCATTTACAGAATCTTCATAATTCTAAAACTAACAGACTTGCCCTTCAAAATCAAACAACTTTAATGTTCATCTTACTCATGACCATCAACAAAGCACAAAGACCATTGATCTCAAGATCATTGGCTTCAACCTTATTTCATTATCCTTTTCTCATAGTTGTTTATAGGATTGGATCCCCAAACCACCTTTTCAAGAAAGCATTCAATGAGAGAAGCATTAATTTTACATATCCAGAAGTCAAGGAATTATATCATTTGTATTCTTAGGGGATTTAGAATATTTTTTCAGTAACAACTACTTTTTCATACTTAAATAATCTTTTTTATATCTTGTGTTGCATAAGAACTATATGCAACCACATATATTTACAGTGTTCATATATATATATATATATATATATATATATATATATATATATATATATATATATGTATGTATTCTGTTTTTTCAATTTAATAGATTTAAAAGAATTGATCTGCAGTAAAAAATTTTTGGAAATCTTCTGCAACATTGCTCTAATAATTGGACCAATTAGTCCATGTCACGTTAATGGAAAAACACTTACAACAATAGAATTAATTACTATAAACTATTAATTACTATATTCATAAATGTTTTCACTTACAATATTCAAAAATAGAAATCTAGTGTTACAATTTAGCACACTCCAAAATTTTGTAACTGTTAATAATAATAACACACTTTTTAAAAAAAACATCTTTTGACCAGTATTATATTTATTTTCGTCTCAGAATTTTATTTGAAATATCCTGAAATTGAAAATTAACATCCATGCCTGAAGATGATACAAGTAATATCGAAAGTACTTGTAATATGGACTGAACATCTAATTCATTTTACAGTTTTTAAAAACAAGGACCGCATCATTCAATGAGTTTAATCTGTTAGCAAAATGATCTTACCATTAATTACATTAAGTTTACTGATTTATTCTTTGTATGGCTACTTCTTGCAAGGTGCTTTTAGTTTTTTTATACAATTTCTCATGTGATCTAATAAGTTTTTTTCTTTTTGAATGATAAATTATATTAAAACTGTCCAATTGTTCTTTTTATATGAGCATTTTCAGCTATACATTTAGCCATTTTCAAGGTTGAAATATATTAACTGTTAACAAGAAATAGTTTGTCATATGTATGTATTTATATAATGTTTTCATTTTCAAAACATGGACACAATATCTTTTTTTTTTCATAACATGGACACAATATCTTTTAGTTGGGAGCATGAGAGAGAGAGAGAAAGAGAGACAGAACATAATAGTAAATGGGTGAAAGACATAAAGTAGAAATTCTTTTGCTTGTATTAAAAAAGGCAGTGGCTTTAGCCTTCCTTGTTTTCTTTTCCTTTCAATCTGGGTGCATGTAAAAGAGAGACAGAATAATAAAGGGGGGGGTCACAGAGAGGAAGCCACTGAAACACAGACAACTCTTTTGCTTGCTTTCCAGCCATATTAAGCCAGTATACACTCTCTACTGAAGTGATGATGTTTTATTTTGCTTATTCAAAAGATTTATAATCGGACAGATTTAAATGAAAAATTCAGTTCTGAGGAGTATATAGAGAATGCCTAATGACTTTAGTCTCACATCAAAAGTTTTTTTTTTTTTACTGACTTTTAAAAGGTTTTAACCCATGGAGAGTATTCTTGACCCTACCTTAAGACCCAGATTCAGTCATGGGACCATTACCCAGAAAGTTTTTGACCGATTCATACTTGGAACAAAAAGGAGCAACCAGCAAAGTCTATTTTTTGTGATTAAAAGTTTTCATCCATTTCAATGCTTAAGATTTAATTTTAAATGTTCAAAATTATTTTTTTAAAGTTATATAAAAATATTTCTTGAAAATATTGTATTAAATATGTTAAATTTTGTTAAAGGACATTTAAAAAAATTTACTGCTATACCTAATTTTAAAATTAAAAGTATTTAAATTCAAATTTCATATATTAATGTTAGTGTTATTTTAAAGAAGAAAGGTTGAACTTTATCTTAAAAGAACATTTGGGTAATTAAAACAATTTAAATTAAAACAATATTAATTCAGTTTACGTAAAAATTACAAATTTTCACTTTTCCAGTCATCAATCAACACCATTTTCTGACACCTGTCCTCAAGCGATAAGAAACTTATTTAAATATCTTTCAAAAATAGAAAAGTCTACGTCTCATTAAAATGGAAACATAATTTATTTTCTCTCATAACCAATAGTGGTCATCATCATCATCAGGATATTACTAATGGAGGTGGGGACATCAAGTCCAATGGAGAAGAGTCTGAAATGGACTCTGTTGGTACAAATGTATTTTCTGACATTAAAATTAGTTCACATCACATTGGAGGCAAAGGTGAATAATTTTCAGTGGGGGGGATTCTTTTCCCTCTTCACCTTGGTGATTAGGCTGTAATGGATTGTATGCTCTGGTTCCCAACTCACCCTTTGCCACTGATAAATATATATATATATATATATATATATATATATATATATATATAAAAACATGAACATTGAAGTCAACACTCAGAGGCGACAGTTATTACAGTTGTTATTACAAGGAGTTGGTCTATTGCTCAACTGTGCCCCACACATTAATAATTAAGCAGTTCAGGGAGTTATATGGCCAGATGTAAGGGTCTGAGGTCCTCACCAACAAATTCAGGATTTTTTTTTTCTTATCAGAACAATCAGAGTAAGTTTTCTGAGCTGCTGTATCTTTTTAATCACCATTAGACTCCAATTCTTTCCAAATCCTCTGAAATGTTTGTATTGAAGATTCTGGTGTGAATGCCATGCAGTGCAAAATGCCGTTTCCAAATTTCTGATGGACCCAATTGTTACATGGTGCTCTTTTTCTCACAGATGGTGCGTAACTGCCCCTACTATATTGTGACATTGACAAAATCGAAAACAAATAATGTACATGCACAAAATTAAAAATATAAAATGACGACAATTTACCCATCGCGCCCTGTATATATATGACTTCAAATGTTATTATAGTGGATACTCATATTTGAAATAGACACACCACTTTTATTTTTACTTTAAACAATGTTTATTATATCTTTCATCAATGCATAACCAAGAAATCTTAATAAAGAAAATGTACTTTCCCCAGCAGCAATGAAACTTGCATTCCTCTTTGTAGGAGAAACCACTGTTTAATCCAGTGTGCTTTATCACTCAGATCAAAGAGGGGTTTCTCTTACAACCACTGTTCGATCTCAGTATATATATATATATATATATATATATATATATTATTATATAATATATCTAATACTAGCAGCATGGCCCGTGCTTGATTCAAAAATCGTACAACTCATACAGCAATCACTATCACTTAAAATATTTTTGCCCTTCCTTTGCCGTGCTGATGTTGCTACATGCCTTACTTCTTGCCTATCTCACACTGCGAATTTTTACTAAGCTCTATACTAAACATTAAATCTGTTACGAAAAAAGAACTAAACAAAATGAACACAAAACGATCAGCTTTAAAAAAGGACTCGTAACTGGAAAAACCGAATGAAAAAAGAATGTTAACAACAATTACTTTTTCACACCCAACCCAGTTCTGCAGAATCAGAATCAACGTTAAGTTTAAGCAAGCAAATGAGCCAATTGGAGTAAAGTGCCATGCAGATTTAAATTTTTCCCCACTTGTGACGAATGCAGCTATCAATTTTTTTTACATGCTAGCATGCTAGTTAACATTCATGTCAGTCAGCTGTTGGCTCTCACACTGGCCAATAGAATCTTCCTACCTATTCGTGGCAGCTAGCTATAGGCTCTCACTCTGGCCAGTAGAAAATGGCCGCAAACTACATGAAAACTGCCGTAGAAGCATGAAAAAAATCAATTATTTCCACTATTGATGGGAGTTGGGAAATGCAAAGTCAGTCTTGGCCTTCCCGCTAACTTGGAGCATGTGCATGTAAATTTTGGTGCAAATCCACCGAAAATTGCGGCTGTGCATTCGTTACAGACACACACACACACATCCTGCCTTTTATAGATAGAGATATATATATTTTGATATGGATAAAGACAAAAGGAAAACTTTTCTCTGCTGATATGTTTTGTCCACTGATGGACTTTATCAAGGCAAATGTAAGGATATTATTTTGCAACAAGTATTTATAAACAGAAGTAAAGATGTTAGTTTATCAGAATTTTTGTTTTTTAAATTTAAGAGTACTCATAAATTTACATCAGGCTAGCTGAAAGTCAAAGTAAATTATAGAGGATGCTCAGTGACGTAATTTAATATCTAATAAATGAAAGTGAGTTATTATGTTGTTATTGTTGCTGCTTAATTTTTTTTTATAATGTAATTATTATTTATATTGTTTTACTTTGAGAAATTAATGTACGTATTATATATTTTAAATAATAGGTTTTGAATTTAACCATTTACTTTTAATTCTAAAAAAAAATTATAGTTATGTATGCTGGATTCAGAAATGAGTATTTCTTTTAGAAGGAGTTATTTGAAAAAAGAAAATGGGGCATATATTTATATTTTGGTAAGATTCAATAGTAGCAGGCACTGACAAGAATTTTCCATCTAAGTTACTTTCTTTTTTAATAGCTGTGGCATTCTTTAGATCAATGTTGTGGTTGAACTTAATTCTATGTATGACTAATGCATTTGGTAAATTGTTATTTATAAGATCCTTTTCGTGTTCATAGATACTTTTTTATAGATTTCTGCAAATTTCCCTAACTTTCTGGTCTGGTCACATGAATCTGCTGGCAGATCACACAAGCTAAACTCTGCACTTAGCTCTCTTGATGGTTTGGTGTGATACTAAATGCAAAGTCTATCTAGCATGAGACGCACAATACACTACAATATGTCAATTCATCAATTTGTTTGTAGCTTATCTAGAAGTAAGGATTATATATTTCATGTGAAAGTTTTCTGTTGAAAATGTTAAAGGGAGATAACTGCTAATTTTAATGGGAACTAATTTTAGTGTTGTATTTCATTCTTATACTTCTACAAGAAAAAAATTAAATAAAAGGCATTAAATAATCTTAAAATCTCTTAACTAAGTTAATTTTTAGAATATTAAGAGGGACTTTCAGATGAGAATTAAAAAAAAAAAAAAAAAAATGCAAATTATGGTCTTATCATCCCTGACAGCAACTATTAGGCCATAGATAGTTGAAGACTGTCATTTTTTATCATTAGTGACAATTACAATGTTTCCCTGAGCAAAAACTTTCATCACTGTTCATTGGTGGAAATGAAGATGTTCTTCTTACCAGTCGATTCAATCTAAAAATCAAATCATCTCATGTTGTGTTTCTTAGGATTTCTCTCAAAGCATAACAAAACTGCTGTATTTAGCATTAAATTTCTAATAACAGTTTTATTTTATGGGATCTACACATAAGTTCATCAAAAAAGTAACTCTCCCAAATTTTTCAGGCAACCAATATTGTAGTCAAGGCCATCTCAAGGTATTGGCAACTCAGGCAGTTACCATCAAGGCCAAGGGTGTCATCATACTGCCACGTCATGTGTTTGGGATCTTCCAAAACTAAAGCTTATAAAAACATACTTGTGGTCATCCATGATTCAAGACAGATTAAATTCTTTGGCTATTTTGTCAATAGAAAATGATCTTGTAAAGAAGATAGGTGTAGAAAGTGCCATGAAAAGATTTGCAGATCTAAAGGCTAGAAAGAAATGTTTTAAGTAAAATAATGAATGTTTTTAGTTGCATATTATAATAAACATGTAATTCTACATTTTCAGTTTTTCTCCTTGTGAAAATTAAAAAAAAATACACTTGTAAGGGCGCCGAACTTCAGCTTGCCTAGAGTGCCAGCAACCCCAGGGCCATCACTGATTGTAGGTGTTCTATTGATTGTCCTTTTGACTTGAAATAGAGGTAAGAGAGAAGAAAAAACTGTTTCTCTTTTAAAATCTTAAATTTATGAAAAAATATGTCTCCTAGTGAAACATAATAACAGCATTCATTCAGAAATAGATTATTTGACTACAATAGTGGTGTGACAATCAAATAAGTTTCTTTCTATAAACTGGCCTCAACAAGCACCAGCATATAACTCTCCTTGATCCCACGCTTTTATAAGTATTATATGAATAGCAACAAGAAGATGTATTAAATAAAATTGCTCATCAATTACTGAGGCTCTTAATATGTTCATTGTTCAAAAACCAGATGTCTGTTGACAGCAAAGAGTTTTATTTGCAGTTTCCAGTCATGTTTTTTTTTCATCAAGAAGTAAGGACTTGGGGGTGAATAATATTTAAGTAAGCACAATTCTGACACCCCTAACTCTGCTGATAATTTCTCATTACGAGGTTGATGTTATTCAGGTTCTATTTGTCATGTCTTAGACAAATGTAAGGGTGAAACAGGTGATTTACTTAGTTGTGAATGATTTAATACATTTTATTAAGTTATCCAGTGTACCAAAGTTCACTATAGCCCTCAGCCTATTTCAAAATGATCTCATTTATTGTAATTAATTAACTTTTTAATTATTTTTCAACAATTACTCCACTCCCCATTGCGATTTAATCAACAATTTTTCTTTAGTTTTCTTCCAGCCATACAAAGCAAAATAAGACTTTACATCACTTATCAGTTAATTCACTCACTACCTCAATCCTCCCTGGCAGGTGTGGGGGTAGTTAAATGCCTCAACAGGTGGAGGGTTACTCTCACCTTGTTACATTTAATGAAAAATCTTTATCTGGTAATTGGGTTGTGAAAATCAATATAGAATAACTGTCATGTTGGCATCTTCTTTTCTAATAATCATTTTGTTAATCATCAACACAAAACTTCATTTAAGGAAAAAGAGAAAGGAAAAAAGAAGAGGATAGAAGAAGTGAAAGGCAAGGGGTGAGAGAGGTGGGAAAAGAAGAAAGGAAGAGAGATAAAAAGAATAAAATGGAGCATAAGAAAGAAAGAAAGAAAGAAAGAAAGAAAGAAAGGTAGGAAGAAAAAGACAAAGAAAGGAATGAAAAAATGAAAGAAGAGTGAAGTAGAGAAAGGAGAGAAAGAGAAAATTAAAACTGGGGGCAGGAAGAAAGAGAGAGAGAGAAGAGAAAACAGAAAGAGATACCTAGAAGGATTAAAAAGACGAGAGAAAATGGTGTCTGAATGGAAACAGAAAAAGCGTGTCAGCTCCGAGAAAAAGAATACAAGGAGATAGAAAGAAAGAAAAAAAGGTAGCAAACAGAATGAGAGAAAATGAAGATAAAACATATAAACAGAACAGTAGAAGAGGAAATGTGATGTAATGTTTTCAGTTTTAAGAAAAATTTGACAATCAGAATAAATGCTTTTCCACAATTAATCTCACTAAAGACCAACATCTACCCAACAAAGAGAATAGAAAATTGAAACAGAAAAGAAAACCAAAGCACAATATAATTAAAATATACTCAAACACAAACAACAGAAATAAATCACCTGATTGTTTAAATAATATTAAAAATAATTTCAAATATTTTTAAAAATATAAAAAACACTGAATAACAGCGCAACATACATTATTGTCTAGGGAAAGACGTTCTTTAAAAATGGGCTTATTAACTGATATTGTGCTTGTTTAGTTGAATCTAATAAAGGTTTACTCCACTCATCAAAGTACTGCTGTTATAATATATTTAGAAGAAACATCTAGGGTTCCCATATTATCATCATCAGTCCCTTGACCTGGTATGGTCATAGGGTCACCACACAGTTGAGCACATGACCAGCTCCCTGCATAAGTCTTGGTTGCATGACAATGTCTGAATCATTGTGAAAGATCTTCCATTCCACTCAGTGAAATTGTCAGTCTTTTTTCCCTTTGTCTGTCTCCTTTGCTAAGTAGTATCTTGTAGGAGTGCAGTGGGAAGATTATAAAGTATCCGTACCATTTCATCTCTATCTTCAGTAAAGTGGTTATGAGGTCTTCTGAGCCTGTTTCTAGTTTGATGGTGTCTCACACTGTTATTTGTGATGCAGTCTACATAAAACATAATTTGGATGGCTCTGTAGCATCTCATTTCTAATGCTTGGATTCGTCAGTCATTCTGCTTTTAACGTCCAAAATTCACAGACATACTGAAAGATTGAGAAGGCCAATGCACACAACAGTCTGATCTTTGATTGCAGGCAGATGTTCTTGTCTTTCCAGATAGTTTTCTGACAGCTGCAATTATTTGCGCTACTCTTGAAATTATTTTTATTCTGATGGTCTCTTCACTTATAATTGAGCCAAAATATTTGAATTGTTTCACTACTTTAAGTTCCTAACCACCAACTTTTACCTTGGTTGAAAGACCTTTTTCATTGTTCATCATGAGTTTGGATTTTTGGCATTAATCATCTATATATGTCCATAACAGATCCTAAAAAATACTTAAATTCTTATTAATTACATTATGAGTGTAACTATGTCAGTCTAAGTTAATTTTAGTAAATATATGAAGTTTTTAGCAAGATAGAATGTTTTGATGAATTCTGTATATATATAAATTATTTTTTCTCTTTATAGCTTCTTTTAATGATGAAAATGTTTAGTATGAAAGTAAAAAGGCTGCCACAGTAATTTCACTTTGAATTACTTTGAGTTTCATTTTTAAAATATCATAATTTTAATAATTCACTAATACAACCTGAGATTAGCTAATACAACCTGAGATCAGTGTTGTTTTTAATAGCAGTTTCAGCTTTCAGATGATAGCTTATCACATGATGCTAACCTGTTATTGCTTGGCTTCTCACAATTTCCTGTGAGATACAGGGTAACCGAGCACAAAGCTTTTCATTGTCCAGGCATGTCCAAGGTCTTTTTTTCTATAAACCCATTTTGATGCTAGAATAAAGTTGTTTTTTTTTGTTATACACTGTCAAATGAGATTAATCTTCTGATAGTCTGCCTTTCTTAGAGAATAATCATAATAATAATATGACCTGGGTAAACTGGATATGATTAACAGTCACTTACCATAGAACATGTATAAAATAACAGGTAACATTAAACTCTGGATAAAGTGTCTACCAAATTGCTTGACTTACAAACCACTTCAAAGTAAATCAAGAAGGAAAGTAAATAAATGATAATTATTCACATCCTATAGAATTCTTCAATCCCTTCAGGATGCATGTGATCATGGCTCTCCACGACTTCCTGTCCTTTCTAGCACTTAGCAGTATTTGTCTTTTTGCTATCTCTCCTAATCCCTGTTCTGCCAACCATTTACACAAGCTCATTAGGTAGGTTATTCATTATTTTTTCTGTCCCTTTTGTCTTCAACATGCCCTGTGAGTGTTAAATTTTCCAAAAAATTTTAATATGTGACTCAGAAATTTCAGTTATATATTTATGATTCTAAGTATAAATTTTCTTTTTGATTCCATTTTCTATAAAACTTTGTTGTTGCTCACATGTTCAGTTCATGATATTCTCAGCAGCCTTCTGTAGAACCACATTTCTGTTGCTTGAAGTCTTCTTCATCTACTGACTGGATTATGCCACAAACTTTTAAAACTATTGTACAGTAATTCATTGATTATCCATACTTCAATTTTCCAGATTTCTATTATCTGGACATGAAATGAAGAGAAATATTGAAATCATCCAAACATTTTCCAATTATCTGAACTAAATCCATTAGAATACTTCACCTCAGAAAAAAATTTTGAGAATTAAGAAAACCATACTTAATGTCTGATATATAATATATATATCATTTTTAGACACTATTTCCAGAAAATTAATCACTTGTGAAATACAAGAAAAATTTAATAATTTATAAGTGCCTTGTCAGTCATCTTCAATGAAACTTATATATATATATATATATATATATATATATATATATACTGACCTGTCACTTATCAAAACTCAGTGCAATCCATGCACACACTGGCCAGCACATCATGAATTACTGAAATATAAATATATAACTATCAACATGAAAATATTAGTGGAAAATACCAATATTACTCTACAGCAACCAATGCAAGGAAAAACTCAAAAACCTGACTACTGCTCTTGAAAAGAACCTCCAATCAGAAAATGGCTTGTAAATTTTAATGCCTCCAAAACTAAACTGCTCTCATTCAACCACCATAGAGAAACTTTCCTGACCACCATCAGCATGTTGCTGTTTCATTTTCAATGGACTTAAAGTGGAACAACTACGTTGAATCAATAGCCGCATCTACCACAAGGAAAGTTGGTTCACTGTGTCATGTCAGAAGGTTTTTCTCATCAGTCTATCATGCACATTTACAAAATGACCATTTGGCCGTACATTGAATACTGTTGCCATTTGTAGTCTGGCACTCCCGCTATTCATTTTGAGATTCTTAACAAAATCCAAAGAAGGATCTGCAATTTAATAGATCCTACCTTGGCATCTTGACTTCAGTCAATTTCTCAATGACATGATGTGGCTTTCCTCTGTCTTTTCTAGAAATATTTTCATGGCAACTGTTCTGACAAGCTTTTTTCCCTGGTGCCCCCCACAACATGAATTTAAGTGTGTTACTAGACTGGAATCTAGGTCCCACCCTTTTACTGTTCAAATAGTTAAATGTAACTGCCACTTTTACTCCAACAGTTTCTTTTCACATATTTTTCCAACAGTGGAATTCCTTCTCATTTACTTGCTTCCCTGAAAACAATAATCTTCAAAAATTTAAATGCAACGTCAATTGCCATCATCTATAGTCTTGAACTTCGTTCATCTTTTATCCTTTACTCAATCCCCCCTATACCCAGTCTTTTCCCTCACTGTCACTCTCTGTAACCCCCTGCATACTAGTGACATTCCCATTTGGGGGGGCGGACTGATTTTTAAAAAATAACTCTAGAATCTATTATTATACAAAATAAACAGCCCACATAAAATATTATTCACCACAGGAGATGGCATTTTGAATTGTATATTATATAATTAATGTGAGCACATCAATTTCAATGGCAGGGCTCCACCTACAAATGAGGGCATGTATCCCAGCTTTGAAGCTGGCTGCTGATATAGCCCATTCCTTACAGCAATTTTCACTTCTTCATCACTGCCATAACATTTGCCCCTCAGTCCTTCTTCTATTGGTCTTTCGTTCAATGAAAGTGGTAGATTCACTTCCTTACCACCACCATAATGCTTTCTCCTTAGTACCTCTTTCATTGGATACAAATGAAAAAAATCACTGAGTTTACAATAACTAACAAAGATCTCTTCTTAAATATAAGTTTCTCACACTTTCAGAGAAACTTAACACACATGCATACATATGAAAAATGATATCTCAGTATATACACATTCATTCAGCTCTTTTCTATTTTTTCTCTATGGTAATAGTAATATTGTTTCCTTATAAAGAAGTATTTTGAATTCAATGACCAAATAGTGCTACTTTTGGTTAAAATTTATAAAAAGTTTCTCTTAAAATAACTTTTCAGAAAATAGGTTCACAAACTGTTTCTGTTATTGATGAGGGCTTCCTACCTAATCTTTTTGTTTTTAGTAGTGTGAGACATCATTATGTCATTATTTTCTCTTTGTGCTGCATGTGATATCAATTTTAGTATTTACAGTTGTTGAAAGTTCTCAAGTGATGTGGTTTCTGTTATTTGGTACAGTTCTTTATTTGTGATTCTGTAATGCCAGTTCATAAGACTTACGGGTTTCATTCACTCAAAGCTATTTTTAACTATTGATCTGAAAAAGCATTTGTATAAAGCTTACAGTTTAAATGTTTCTGAACAAGTCCTTCTCCAGTTTTCTCCAGGTATCTGTCAATCTAAAGAAGGTTGTAGGGCATAACAGCCAAAATGTTGTGATGATAATTATAACAAAGATGAGGACATTAGACCAAATGTAAATCATGTAAATAATGATTATCCCTCATCTCAGATATTCAGACAGAAGGCAATCAGGTGATAATAACAACAAAGATGAGAACATTAGTCCACATGTAAATTGTGTAAATAATGATTACTCAAGAAAAAAAAAAAAACAGATAAATGCTGTCAACCAATTTTAGTGAATTTATGTGGTAAGAACAAATGACAGAAATGCCTGGAAAATGGACTTATTCAAAATTTATGATTATAGTCACATGTTTATTTAAGTTCTCTTGTTCACAAACATTTCTATAAATTTATGAATAAAAAATTTGTTTTCATAGCTATTTCTTTATAATATGGTAATACATATTACATCATAGTGGATTCACATATTTTATAAACATTATTAAACATA